ACAACGGATAACATATTTCTTATTATAGACATTTACAATCAGGTTTAATGGAAGTACACTTCTACCATAAAACATTAATATATTATATATATGTTTTTAGCCAGCGATGCCCCAAAATAGACTTCACAAAGACCTCCACAAAGGCCATTTATAGCCAAGATAGGCAAATTCTACATAGAACTTCATAAATAGACCATAAATTAACATTGACATGGATCCCTCAAAATACGTATAGCTTTGTAGAACCCAGATATGGACAAAATTGAATTTCGTAGGTAGGTAATGAATTAATATTGACGTGTCCCCCAAACGAAACTTGTGCTAATAAATCTAAGTCAGGAGTAAGTTAGCCAGTTTCTAAAATTGTGCCAGTGAAGAAACGATTGTTCATTAATAGTTAATGATTGATAATTATAAGGTAAATATAAATTTTAGTATTACAAAAATTTTCTGTAATTTTGAATATGAAATATAAATGGATAAATAGCTAAAGAGAAATAAAAAAAGAAGTTTGACATTGATAATAATAATAATATTATATATGAAAGTACTATTACATGTAAGAAAAATTGTAATAAAAGATTGTAATAAAAGTTATAAGAAAGACTGTAATAAGTATACGGCAAGAAAAAAAGGTTGAAAATTTATTATATCAGAGAGCCTTAATTCGTCATTTCCGGAGTTAGGCATATCAAGATAGTCAGATTTACAAGTATAGACGTTAATTTGTAAAAGTGTTACATCTCTGTGTAGAACTTAAGTGGATTTGTCTTTATTGGGTCTTTATAGAAGCAAGGAAAGACTGTCTAAATCCTTTTGAATTTCTACTTGAAATTTCTACCCGGGTATTAACAAAAATAGATTTGCTTTATAAGCGGATAGACAATTGTTTCTATATCTAATATCTTTGTTACACTAGCAAATTTATTTAGTTATAACGTTTAATTTAATTTTACTTAGCATATTATATTAAACTAACTAAGCAATTTTTTTCGTGACTGAATAAAATAAATAAGGGTGAAAAAACCAGTTGATTGAATATATAGGTTGAATACGAGTATCGGAACGATAAGTGGCGACATTCAAGGTACCGTATTCCAGGAAAGTTTACGATCGAGGAATCGTAATGAAAGAGTCGCGACGGCATTCCTCGAAACTTCGCAATTCCACGTCTACGTGCAGCTTTTTACGCGCCGACGGATATGCGTGCGCGACGCCTCATTGCGTCGCGTCGCAACCGCTACTCGTTATCCGTCGAATTATTTATTCTACGCTCGTCAATATTGAATTTGCTCCTATTATTGAAACATCCCATTGGTAATTCGCTTCAACGCGCACGCGCGCGCGCATCGCACGTAATCGCCGAATCCGCTTAATTTCATCAGAATCGCTGGATCGAACCGACCGGAAACCGCGCATCTCCTAAAAGCATCGTTAATCCTCCGCGATTTGCACATACTAGACACTCCCCGGTGGTCGCTCGCAAATGCGATATTATTTCCACGACGACTTGAATTCGGCAAATACATCGAAAAGGGCGGGTAGAATCGATCGGCGGAACGAAACAAAGTGAAATCGGCGAAGTTAACTTAAAAAAGAATAGAAAAATTTCCGGGATAGCGGTAATATTCAGCAACCCTATCGTCGATTAACGTCAGTAACATGTCTCGGACGTTGCCGCCGCTGTCTAATAAACCACCCGACATTCACGATAATCTAATGTCCAACATCGGCCGAATAACTCCAAAGTTGCTAGCTCACCAATTCCCCGTCCCTCAATATCAACCGAAACTTCAGCCATTACTTGCCGGATTTGCGTCACGAAATACAAACATTAAACGTGAAGTCGCTCGTCAGCGCGCTACGTTACCTGCCTGACAATGAATACTACAAACGTGCGTACTTCGTGTTGAGTTTTACGTCGTAAAAGTTGAAGTGTGTAGACGCGTGTAAATATAAAATGTAGGATACGAACAAAATCGACGAAGAGATGGCATCGTAAAAATGCGACTTGTCGAGATATTAAGGGGCATTTATGTCTGGCCAAATTGAAACGCTTCTTTCATCATGTACAATAAAATAGGAGAGAGCAAATAACATGGAACACTTTTCGAAAATCAAAAAAAGGTTGAAATATATTTTTTCCAAAAATGATGAGTATTTTGTTTTATTTAGTTTGGACTGTTTCCTGAAAATTCAGCAAAAACAAAATCTATTTTTTTATTTTCTTAGCAATAATTACAAAGGGGAAAGTGGATTTTCGACTTGCCCGAAAAGTGCAGGCTAGATGGAACTTCAAATAAAAGTAATATAATTCATTGAAATATGAAACATATATATATATATATATATATATATATATATATATATATATACACATAAAAAATTAAAAAACAGTAAACATAAAAATAAATAACATTAATATTTCAAAAAGGCACAAAATTATTTCGTAAAAACTATAAACTTGTTTAATATAAGTTTAATACAGTTAAATTAAATTATTATTTAACATAACTATTTGTATAAAACCTACTACTATAGTTAGTCTGTATTAAGAATATAAATGTCTGTATTAAGAATATAAATAAAAACAGAGAACAATTATAAATAATAATAATTAAGTGAAATTATTAGCTTTTTGAACGATTTCTATTAATATTAATTTTGCAAAAAATACAATTACAGATCTCTGTATTGTAATTTAGATTAATGTCACCCAGAATGTCATTAGGACAAGATGATGATAGATCGTAATCCATCTTAGTCCCTTTCGTCATGTTCCATCATGCCCGCAATGTTGATGAATAACAAGTTTTCAAGATTAAAAACTTGTTAATTAAATATAGTTAATTAAATACATATTCGCGTATTCACACAGCTGAACGAAATAGTTAATTAAATATTAATTTATAAACCTTATATTACAATAAACAAAACAGTATATACTTATAATTATTATAAGTAGTAAATTTAATTAAGCTTGTACTTATCTCTGAGTTTTTATAATTCATATCAGAATAGAGAGCAGAGAGTTATAATAGCAGATAGATAACAGAATACATATTACATTACTAAAGTTTCGTTATAAATGCAAATATCAAAAGCTATCTGACATAAAGTATATGATTGTCACGCTATTATATGGGAACAAAAATAAATAAGATGTTTTATCTTACCCGTCTTTGCGCTCTATCTCTCTCTAATAATTCTTTTATAAAAATACGAAAAGTATCTAATTCGTCAGACGTCGGAAAGGTGAAATATTTAATGTAAACATTCTCGCTCGCGCGGAGAAATGACTTTTCGCTGACGCGCAAGAATTTCTTAAGGTTCAGCGAAAGATCTATTTCTATCTTGGTGACATTTCTCCATAAATAACCGCCGATGTCTATCTTAAAAGTCAACCGAGCACGACCCACGCAATATATTTCTAGCGAAGCACCGCCGGATATTTCAGAAGATCTGTCAAGCAGATACTTCTGTTCCCATTGCTCGCGAGTATCGCAAAGTTGAAAATTTAATCGAGTGCCAGCAAAGTAATACGTACGATCTGGGTCATTTAGTTAAGGTGACTGGGTCGCTCGGCTAGACTAATAAATAATGCGAAATGATTCGAATTAGTCTTCTAGAATTTCACTTTAAAATAATTTACATCCTACGTTTATCTTTTTATAATAAAAAAACTGAATAAGCCAGAATTACGTAGTCAACGCGTTTGCTACACAGAAAAAAAGGTTTGGTTGAATTAACCAAATATCTGGTTGAATATGAACGATCCAGAAATTTCGATTGAAGTAACCCGAATTCTGTTTAAGTCAACCAAACATCTTGTTAACTTAAACAGAAATTGGGTTACTTCAATCGGAATTGTTTGTCTTTCCGCCTGATCCAAGTTACCTAAAACGCGAATTTCATTTCACGATTTATTATATTAATATTATATTCAGTATTTTCGTAAATAAACAGAACGAATTATTTATTGATTTTAGATCACCAGTTTTAGTAATTCGATTTGACCAGATATTTGACCAGATAATTCAACCAAACCTTTTTTTCCGTGTAGAATTGTAAAATATGTGTGCTTCAGAAATATGATAATTGACTCACTTGGTAAAATATAGGACACTTTGCTGCAATTGTACGTAATCTAATATATCAGAATAAATAACGAAGTGCTCACAGAAATGCACACACACACATATACCACCACAGAATACTCAGAGATAAACATCAGCAGAAAATGCGCATAGCGCGCAAACCAAACAGATAATAATTGTAATTTCTATTTTTCTTTTGCGCGCACGCGTAGTGTCCACGTGTTTGTATATATCTTCAACTGATTTTGCCCACCGTTTATCATAATATTCCTCGCAGGTTTAAAAAATGTAAATTTATCCCATCCCCCTAAAACTAATTGCTAATGCTTTAGGAGAAAAATGTTATAGTAAAAATTATTATAGAATTTTTAAACCGGAAAATGGATCAACATTCTGCAGTTACTGATTATCCTTTCATTTTATATGTACTATTTAATTTTAGAGACTAAAATGTGCTTTTAAACAATTTATTATGTTTCTAACGAAATTTTCTATATTCCTTAACAAAATAGGTCTTGCTAACAGTCTATTTTTACACTACTAGAAATATAGTAAATTGAAAAAGTTTATATGAAAATAACTATGATATTCTCTCCATGTAGTAATAATTAATCCGTTATCGCCCGTTTGAATAATTTTGACTTCTTTAATTATTTTTTATCAGTTGTAACATGCCTTATCATGCTTTATCAGTTGTAACATGCCTTACACTTTCAATTGTTTTTTTACACAAAAGGAAAATAAAAAGTATATAGTACAAATTATAAACTTTTTTAAAAATTATTACTCGAAGTACAGACCAAAATTACTAAAATTGGTGATCTAAAATCAATAAATAATTCGTTCTGTTTATTTACGAAAATACTGAATATAATGAATCGTGAAATGAAATTTGCGTTTTAGGTAACTTGGATCAGGCGGAAAGACAGACAACTACTTACAGTGGGCTGGGGTACTCACTCCATAGACCAGCGTTTCGTCGTTGTGCCTGACTGGAGTCTCTTAATAAAAAATGTCAAGCACGAAGATGCGGGCCTTTATGAATGTCAGGTAACGACTATATATAATTTCAATAAGAAGACACACCGTAATTGATATTTTAACAGAAAAGATTGTATACGCACGTATCTACGCTGCGATAAAAATAACGTCATTTGCAAAAAACATCAGATATGTACATTAGATACTACATCTCTCTTGGGATGAACATAACTAATTAATGTCCGGAGTAAGTAGATATAGTAGGAGTTTAGCAATTTTATCAGAGCAACTAAGGAATGATCGCTCACTTCACGTACAAAATTATACAATGAAGAATCCGCTTAACGTTCAATCTTCTTTAAATAAAATTACCACTTAATTTCTCCGTAAATCACGGCACGCTGGAGTTTAATTTATTAATCTAAACTTTGCAATCATATCTTCCATTCCGAGACTCTTGGTTTGGAAAGTTCGAAAACTTCTTGGAATATCTTGAGTTGATATCGAGCGTACCACAATCGCGATAGTTTGTTCCGGACGAACTCATCGCTAACGTCTACATTGAGTTATAATATTTTTTTCATACCAATATAGAATTCTATGTATCTGTGCATAAAAAACAAATATCAAATCTACGTTAAATACTCACGAAAAAAAAAGATTTGCTGTTACAACTAAAAACCTTGCTAACCTAGCGAAATCTACAGCCAGTTATACTTTGATATACGGACAGCCAGTTCGCTATATTACAGTGACCAAGTTGGAAAGCTGCATAAAATGTGTGGTTTTACCCAATAAAGTTTGATATTTGAAATTTAGTACTTAATAAAAGTATTTAATAAAGGACTTGTTTTAGTACATTAACACGGAAAAAAAATATGGACAACTAAACATAATTTGCTATGTCAGCCACTTTTTCTTTGCTGTAAAAACCAATTTCCTTGCTAAAATAACAAGAAAATCTGCTCCTGCAAAATAGCTAAAGTAATAAATTATGTTTAGTTGTCCATCTGTAGCAAATTTGTTGCGTTAGTCACTTGACTTGCTGTACAAGCAGATTTCCTTGTTATCATAGCAAGGAAATAGATTCCTGCAGCAAAGAAAAACTAGCCAACATAGCGAATTTGTTTGCTACCCATTTTGAACTGCCCATATATAACAAATTAGTTTGCTGCTGCAGCAAATCCTTTTTTTCCGTGAGCGCATATTGTAACGTAAATATATGTGAAGCTGACGTAAATATATTCACATACATACAAATAATTTATATTAATATTAATTTATATTAGTATTATTTATATTAATGAAGGTAAGCTGTAGCGTAACGCGTCATAACATATTTCTGATGACTAGTAAATCTGTAATTAATTATAACGTTTAATTTTGCCCAGCAAATTATAAATTTGCGAAATCAATTAAACCATTTTTTCCGTGCCGCGACCAACGAGTATAATTCTGACGACGATCAATGAATAACTTCCTTCGTACTTTTGTATAACTATCCTTCGTACTTAACATAATTTTTCTTCTCTTCCATTCTCCTACAAAAGATTTTTTATTAATGAAAAGAAATATTAGCGTTTTGCTCTTACTTGCTTTATATATTCTTAATTTAGTTGTATACTTCGAGAAACTATTTATATAAAAAGGTAAGAATAAAGAGGAAATTATATTGGAACAATCATCCAACGCATCAACCGATCTTTCTTATTACGGTACACGCGTCAGTGCTAGTTCGACAGTAGTAGTAACGACTGATCATGGTCAGACAATAGTAAACGTATTCGTTCTGATCAGCTGATATTAACGCAACTACAGTATTTATCGATCACTTGACGAGACATGTGTTAATATACTACACGGAAAATTGGTTGGCTCACACATAAATCTGGTTATGCCAACCAAATTTAATATTGAATCTGGTTAGTGCAATCAGATTTATGTGCGGACTAACCATACTGTCTTCTCCGTGTAGCAATGTACAGTGTATCTCAAGCTAAAGTACAAATACTAGGTGATTATATAGAGAAATGAAATTTGAACAATTAAAGAATTGAATTTTGAACAAAAGAATTCTCGTAAACATAGGTTCGAAAATATTCCGTAAAAAAGTTATTGTAGAGAAATATTAATAAATGACGTTTTCTAACATATTTTCTTCAATCAGTCAAAAGCAAAAGATATAAGTCAAAATCATCTTAAAACAAATATTATAAAGTATTTTAAATTGAATGAATGCGATTTGACATACTATAAGCTGAGGAAACTAAAACAAACATACATATTGAACGTTCAAGAGTCACGCCAGCAAGAAGGGTGCTTCGAACAATTGCTGTAAGCATTCTACAAAGACTGCATTTTTTTTCTTTCTTATTAATTTTGTATGGGAATTAAATTTATTTTTTAAGAGTTACTTCTGTTCAATTCAAGTAAAAAATTTCACAAAAAGTCTTAAACGTTCAATGTGTATGTTTGTCTCTGACTTGCTCAGTTCACAATTCATCAAATCGCAATGTACTCATTCAATTTAAAATATAATGCTCTATAATTTTTGTTTTAAAACGTTTTTTTCATTCGGTTCTTTGTTTTTAAATGACTGAAAAAAATGCGTCAAAAAATATAATTTCTTAACATTTTTTCACGATAATTTTTTAATAAAACATTTTTGTACCCATGTTTACGGAAACATTTTTGTTCAAAATTCAATTCCCTATATGATCATTAAGTATGTATCTGCACTTCAACTTAGAATATCCTATATACTTCATACGTTGAAATTTATACGTTTTGTGGTGTTCTGATGAAATAGATACAAACGGAGCCAGTACAGCAGCGATTCGTATGGTTAAACATCACCGAGGCGTACTCGATGATACCGGGAGGACCGGATCTCCACGTGAAACAAGGCTCCAGCTTACGTCTGGAGTGTCAGCTGATGGCGGCCGCGGAATCGCCCAGCTACATATTCTGGTACCGCGAGAACCGTATGATAAACTACGACAACGAGCCCGGCGTTAAGGTCGAACGGACGAGAAACGGCTCGGTACTCATCGTGGAGAAGATGAAGCTCACGCACGGCGCGAACTACACTTGCTTGCCGAGCAACGCCAAGCCAGCATACATCATGATACACGTCATCGAAGGTGAGCGAATAACGGACGCGCATTTAGCGTACAGCTCGTTCATTAACTCTCCTCTGATTACGGGTCCTCGAACAACTTCATCCCATACGCGTCCCATTTACCGGACGGTTCGGTACATACGCGATAGTAACATCACGAAACTCCTCGAACATTACTAGGCTGATGTCAAAGGTTCGTCAAAGTGTCGTGTACGAAGAAAATAGGAAACGAAATTAAAGCGAATGTCCTAGTTAGTAACCAAATTAACTTCATCGTGAAAATTAATTAATTAATTGATAATGTATGTAAAGCTAAGTATACACACAAAATTGATTTTGTTGGAAAGCTTGAGCATTTAAAGTTTTAATTGTGTTTATCTAATTTATAGAAAGATTTCACAAAATACTGCTATATCTTCACAACTAAATTTAAAGAAGCTTAAAAATATATGAAAAGTTCGCAGAAAGATTTCCATTTATGCACACACACACACACACGCACATGGTTAGATTTTTCAATAATGGTTAGATTTTTCAATATAGTAAAACAAAGTAACATTTATATAAGATTTATATATACAGGATATTTACGAATTCCACCGGTAAACTGATAGGATGTATTCGTGGTCAATAGAGGATCAATTTTTCATTATGTTTATTTAGTCAGATCTGCCTCGCTACGGAGATATCGGGCGTAAAAGTCAGTGCAGTCATGAAACGTTACGATAAAACTTCTTGTTTGACAAGGAACATAGCGTGATGTAAACAAAAGAAAAACAATAATAACGGCTTCAGACTTGTCTTTGCGAAGCAACTGATAATAATCTCACTTTCACTGACTTTTACGCCCGATAACTCCGTAGCGAGGCAGATCTGACCAAATAAACATAATGAAAAATTGATCTTCTATTGATCACGAATACATCCTGTCAGTTTGTCGATGGAATTCGTAAACACCCTGTATGTACGAAATACAAGAAAGGTAGGATAATTGTGTTTATTTAACATGATGTTTTGATAATCACCTTTCTGTTATCAACATTTTTAAAATTCGTCATATTTTGATATCCTTATTTTTCTTCAATTAAGTTCAAGATATGATAAAAATTTATAAATTTTCTTTATTTTCAGATATAATACCGCAAGCTAAATTTAGCATAAAATTGCTAGCTTCCGTTTTCATGTTTTTAATTATATAAATAAAGCATAAATAAGCATAATCTGCATAAATAAAGCAAATCAATTTTTTTGAAACTTAAAAATCACATTATTAGAAAACCTTGGATGAGATAAAACTTGTTTGCACTTTTTAACTGCAATATCTAGGTCACATAATTTTTTCCATAACGATAAAAAATATTTTTATAAATATTTTGTATAATTTTTACGAATGAAATGAACTCGAATAAAATCCTTTGATGACTGAACTTTAAGAATTTAAAAGAAAATTGTCAAACCTTTTGCATCAACCTAATACATATGATGTCTTCTATTTCATATGATGTTTCTATTTATTATTTAATGTTATTTAATAATATTATATGCTATATATAATTTAATACTATTTATAATATTTTTTAGCATCATACTGAGATTATGGTTAAAAGTTAAGATTGCTTTCTTTACGTGTCGAGTGTTCTTAATTTCGTCCGTTTTTATTAGTTCTCATGTACATATGTTTTACACATATATGCTTCATTACGGCACCATGTAGAGAATATTCCATCGTCTTTACGAACCGCCGATTCTATGCCAACGTCGTTCCGTCAATCCAAGCTTTCAAAAAATCTTCCTCGTCAATCATCGATATTACCGAATACTGGCTCCCATCTTCCACGAACCATTAAGGAGACGTTTATTTATGCCTCACGTATATGCGTGAAATCTGGATTCGGGTAAGAACAGACTTATGTCAGAGTGTAGGGCGAGCTTTATGGGCCGTAAAATCCGTGAGCCGTCCTCAATCTCGGAGAATGACTGTATATAAGGCAGATCGCCCATCTTTTCATTTTTTTAGTCAGCAAAGAGGGTAAACCAGTCTACTGGGGATATATAAAATATTCAAAGCCGGTCAGAATTGACGGGCGATAACTTGCAGTCCTCCATAATACTAAGAAATAAATATATATGTAAGATTTCGACCTTAAGCTAGAAGCGATTTTACTAACGAACAAAAATTAATCTTGCTTCCGAGTTTACAGCGGAAAGATTATCGTGACAAACGGACTTTTGACCCAAAATGATATATTAAAACATGAATACAAAATATACTAGAACAGAATACAAAGTATAACGGAACAAAGGGAACGGAACTACAAGAAAACTTATGATACGTCTGTACCTATTGCTTGCGAAACCAAGACTGCTAACTAAAAAGACTAGCGCCGTCTAAGCCCTCGTCGGTGTAAAAACCTTACAATAAGAAACTAGACACTGTCTTCTGTAGATATTATGTTCGTCATGTTTGGGTCCAAACCGGAAGTATACTTGTCTCACTTTAACTTATTGCACCAATTCAGCAGTGCAGCCAGTGCAGCTGAAAAGAACCGCTGCTTATGTTATCACTCAGCTGATTATCCTAACCGGAAGCGAAAATCCAAACATGGCGCAGCCAATCAAAACGTTGACATACGGTGTCTTGTCTCTTATTGTAGGGTCTCTATCGTCGGTGGTCCTTTCTCGCCAATCGACGGCACCTTTTTCCCCTAAATACGACCGACTCCTATAACTATATATGTGCATTTTTTATGAAAATCCAATACACGTAATATCGTGTGCACAATGACTTGTAATAATCGTATAGAACACTGATAAACTGACTTAAAGATTTGTAATATCGCGGGAGAAAATTTGCAAAGCACGCACTTCCCTTTCTCGCTCGTTCCCTCTCTCGCTCATCAAAGATTTTCGTCTGTTTTCACAGAGGAAGAAAAACCAGCGGCTATGCACGGAGGTGATCGGCGAAATTCCAAGGCAGCATCGCCGAGCCACGACCTGCTGGCCTTCATAATTCTCACATTTGCTTCGCAACTAAGGCACTTCCTGTATGTCATCCGCCACGTCACGTGACTAACGTAAACCACTATTTTCATGAAACCGAAGATATTATCATCCGAGAGCGCGCAAGCGAATCTCATAGCGCGAAAACTCAAACATCTCTTTGTTTTCAATTGTTCAAGACGTCTTATCGCGTTTAAGTATCGAAAAATACTATTCCCGATTCGACACACCTTCCCTCCTCACTCCATTTCTCTCCTTCCCTATATATCTCTTTGTCTATTTCTCTCTTTTTCTGCATGAAGCTGTTTGAGCTGACGATGAAATCCAAACGTCGCGAAAGGAGATATGACAGGTACCGCGCGGAAAAATCAAAGAAAAATCTATTTGCGAGTAAACTTAAAGCGAGAGATTCAACTGCAGACAGTTTTTCCGAGAGTCCGTATCCCCCGGTGATGAAATCCAAGAAGGACCGCAAAGTTTCACGTAACCATGTAACTTTCGTTTAAAGAAATGTCTTATCCAAGTGACACCACTTGATAGAAACTCCGCTTGAACTTGTAACGAGTGAATAATATCCGTGGAATGAGATTTGGTCTTCTTTCGACGGGGACGAATCTGTTCGCCAACTTTGGGGACCAAGTTGGCAGTCTTGTGTCGTTGGTCATCATAAACTCTCTTTGAAACAGAAGTTTTTACGCAGAATCTCATCGTCCCCGCTCACGTCAAAGTATCTACAGAAAATAAATTAATTAATAAACTTTTCGAGAATGTTGTTTACTTTTTGGTGAAAAATTATCAACATTTTATACAATACTAATTACTTAGATGTATTTCAAAATGTATTTCCCATATTCAATAGGAAGATATCTTATAGAAAATGTTATAGTAAAAATTATAGCAAAATTTTTATAATCATGAACCATGTATATAGAGATTACGATCGAAATTGCTATATATTTACTTAAAAATATTATGCATATTTGACTTTTTATCACAAAAATATTGTAATTGAACGTTTTGTTGCATAATGTAAAATAACTAAAATTTTTATTATATACAGTAAAGCAAAAATTTTGCAATTTTTGTGCAATTACATTTGATACAGTCGTTAATACGTTATATTACATTTATAACAACAATTACAATATAAATATAGAAAGTTTAAATAGATTATATTTCGAACGTATCACCTGATATTATTCATTACATTGCATTCCAAATATTATCGTACCTTCTATATATATTTTCGCTGTTAAATATTAGTAAAAATAACTTAATGAAAATTACTATAGAATATGTTTTAATCCTTTTTTACAATACCACGAATAAAAAAATATATGGATCCATTTAAAAAAGTAAAAAAACCTTGACTTTTTTATAAAAAAGAATTATCAAAATTTTTATTATTACTTCTATTATTGTTTATTGCTTTTTTATTATTGCTTATTACCATATAAAACGGATTATTTAGTACTTTTCCCTGCCTAATTATTACAACTGGTGAGAAAAATAATGAATATGGTTACGATAAACACCCTATATATCTTTGCGCAACACGAAAAAAAGCTATAGGAGAGACCGGGACTAGTTGGCTATCGCAATAAATTATCAAAATCGATTATTTCTATTATTCTTTAACGAGTGCAGCAAGCAGGGATCTCAAAACTATCTTTGATGTATTTAAAAAATTTGCTTGCTTAATTCTGTAAGGAAATAGCAAAACTTGTTAGGAAATAGCAGAAATAATCAATTTTGCTAAGTAGCTCCGATCTCCCCTACAACTTAAATTGCTTAGCAAATTATTTTATCGATGGTACATTTTTGCAATCTGTGTTATAATTCTTAGTGGTGTATTTGTTGATATTTGGTAACTCGTCATATTTACTATTTCTACGATAATTCCTACAAATCTTTGCTACAAAACATTGTAGAAAGAAATATATTTTTAACGTAATTTTTGCTGCAAAAGTTTCTCCATGCATGAGAATTAAAGATACATGAACACATTTATATCAATAAGAATAATAAGACAGTTTTTGTCGCATCTTAATAATGCATATATCATTACATGAATAACAATTCTTCAATTTTTGCAGAATTTTGAATCCCCTCAGAGAGATCATTACGCCTCAAAAAATATTACATCCTAAAAATATATCATATCTATCCAAACAAATTTAGCTCGTCTCGAGGTAGACAAGTTTCCATCGCGAGAATCAGGTATTATTTGCTCCTTATAAATTTAACAAGTTTCTAACAAGCAGTTTGATGCAAATAGGACATCGAGTTCTATAAACAAAAGTTTCACATTCTCTCCTGGTTGTTACCAACATTCGCAGTAATAAACTCATTTAGAATTGTTAAACATTATACAAAATAAAACGAGAAGAATTGTTTGATTTATAAAATTTAAGTATTTCGAGCGACAAGGAGATTTTCAAGAGTTTATCAAACAACGCATATAAAAAAAATCTTATGGACATCACGGTCAAAATTACATCTACAAATAAGTTAGTGATTCCTAATTCGAATCGTCCGGAGAAAAGGGAAATTTTTTATTATCAGCAAAATTCCTAAAAGCTGCCAAAACCGGTCATGTACTTCGAAGTTTGAATTTATTGCGCGTTAAAAAGTAATGTAAATTCAAATTATTTTGTTTCTTACAAATTCTCGTATCATGATCATTACAAATAATCGAAATCTTCATGTTTCAACTGTAGATCGAAGCAACGGTCTAAAAGATAAAATAACTCGAGCTTATAGTAATAATAGTGCATTTACATATAATATCCTAATGGACGAAGATTGCGAGTGATTACTATTATTTTTGCTGGTATTCGTAAAAATAATGCCTCAATGATATTATGAAGTAAGACTTGAATTGGTGTAGTGTTTCTTAAAGAAATTCGTAATGTTAAAAAGTACTCACAGCTCAATATTTATTCTAATTCTTAAGAAAACATTATTGTAAACAAAAACTCTAAAGTATAGTTCTTAATATTCCGATTTCGTTTAAGTTTTACAATAAATTAATAAATTTACAAGTTAATTTTACAATCATAACTTTTTATTGAAAACTTGTTAAAGAAAAATCGTTCCAGTAAATCATATTTGCACACAGATTGTTAAATATATATATATATATATATATATATATATATGTATATATATATATATAAAATTAATATTATTATTAAATTTTAATATAGCCGTAAATGTATTCCTATGTCAATGCCGATAAATATAGAATGTTAGAAAAAACTGGGGTCAAACTTCATAAAGCTGTATTATTTGTCGACATCATGAATCCAAAAAAACATAGCCCCATTTTTTTTCATCATTCTACATACGTGTATGTATTCTGAGGATCATTTCCAATGACTTCGTTGGCTTTGTATGTATTAAATTAGAATATATGTGCATTAAATTAAGATGTATAGCCTAATATAAAAATGTCGTAGCAGTATAAGAACTAGTAGTATTACTACTTTTAATACTTTCGATCTTATTCATGCGAAAAAACGAATGAAATGTAATATATAATTATGTCGTGCAAACATACATAATAAAAACAAGATACCAGCCATTATTGTCATATTTAATACTTTGAGCCCCAGACTTACAGAGACTTACGGAGAGTCGATGTTGATATTCGACATATCGAAAATCGCCATTTATGTGTATAGTAATATGTAAAGTTAACCTCAATAATTACCATAATAAGAATACTTCATAATTAACTAACGACTGAATTAGCTTGACATTATAATTCTACATACAAAAAAGTACTTTATTAAGTAGTGATATACTAAAAATACCTAACAAAAATATTACAATTTATCGAAATATCATATATGTATTAGTCCCTGTAGACACAATATCGCGCTTGAGCTTTATAATTCAAATGACCAATAAAACAAAATTTTACACTGTAAATTTTTCTCCGTAAATCTAGAGCTTTAATAATAGTCAATTCTTTTAAATCTTCCAAAATATTGTCACTAGAATTTCACACGAACTATTAATTACGCAATTTTGCAAAAATCAAACAAAGGTTAACGAAAATAGCAACAGTAAATAAGAAAAATTCATTGTGAGAGCTGCCTTAACGAAGATGAATAAAAATGTATTAACATTAGAATACCCGATAGAATTATTTTAACTACTTTAATTTTTTTTAGCATGATGAGTCAATCAATAACGCACTATTTTTAGTTCATTTATTCTTTTTTTCCTTGAAATTTCTTAACTTTTTACTTTTATAGAGTTTTGTAGTACATGAAAAAATGTAAAAAAAATAAGCATTAGATTTTTAGTTATATAATTACAATAAATAAAAAGTCAAGATTTATGTTTTTTATAAAAAAATAATGATTTTCTACTACTATTTTCTAAACTACTTATTTATTTTTCTAAACTACTATTAATATCAACGGAAATTTAGGTACTTTTTTAAAATACTCTAAGTATTTTTTTAGAAACTTGTCAGATTTTTTTGCTATGTTGTTTTTTATTATAAATTAATAATCTTTGAAAAATATGGAAAAATCAATATTTTGTGCTGCCAAACAAATATTTTGAATATCTCTTATAATAATGTCCTAGAGTTTTCTTTCGGGAACAAAGTTTACAAAACCAGTCTATCACAAAAATTCTCAAAAAGTTTAGGCTTTTTGACTCCATTTCTGTTTCTCATGGTTCAGAAAAAAAATCTCGTAACTTTTAATTATTTTTAAAATAGAACTCGCTGGTAGAGTAACAGAAGAAATCGATGATACTATAATAAATTATTTTCTGTTATATCTTGGATACTTAAGAGAATCATTTGAACTGTTTAATTAATTATCAGTATTACATAAGGACAATATACACATTCCATTATTTGAAAGTTAAAAATAATTATTAAAAATAATTCGTTATTATTTTGAAATAATTAAAGTTTATAGACAAAGACAACAAAAAAATAATTGGAATATATAGATAACGAGTCGAGAGAACAGCAATCGCTCAAGCAATCCAACGCTCGAACAAAGTAATTCAACTTAAAACGCTTCGGAAAGTTTCGTGTAATTTATCGATAAATTCCGTCAAGCGCCTACAAGTAAAAGCTGGTTGTAGACTGATGATTGAAAGGAAAACTAGAAGCTTCTCGCGAATTTGTAAAGTCGTAAAGCTGACTGTTTGAGCAAAATATCTTAAACAGAGACAAAACATCGCGTTAGAAAACGATTGTGTCATACTCAAGATATACAAGAAACAAAATTGCAAGTTACAATATTTGCATCGTTAAAATATTAAAATATATTACAATCGGCCTCGTTTCAATTAAATTTCATATTCAGGGCGGCCGGCAACAAACTTTAATTACATGTCAACTTATAATTATCATAACACGCAATTGCATCGTTAAAGACTCGTTTGTTACAAATTCAGCAGTGTTCGATTCGTGCCGGAGTTTCCGGTTAATTTCGCAAATTAAGGTTACATCACGCGTCGATGAAGCGTTAGCCGTAATTACGGTCACACGACAATTACAATTATATATTTCCGTCGGAGTGGGATTCGTTAACACGAGAGGCGCTAAATATGTCAAACTGTCACGGCTGTTTTAATATCACGAAATATCAACGTCGTATCTCAGAGGTACGCGCTTGACGAGCCCGTTGGCCATTGCATGTCACAGCGATCACAAACCAAGAGAGCAATAGAGAGAGAGAGAGAGAGAGAGAGAGAGAGAGAGAGAGCAGGAGAAGGAGAGAGATGTCTCTCACCCTCTGCGAGCGGAATGTAATAACCCTCCTCGCCTCGAGTATAGCGTTTACATAGTGCCGTACAATGAAGACGCTCGCATGATTAAACGCGTTCAATTGCGCATCACGGCGCAGAGCGCTTAATAATTATCGATTGAAGTCAACGAGACGCAATTCGGACGTATAATCCCGACAAGATCGACCTGTGCGCTTCGTCATCGGAGATGACGGAATCGCCCAATTTCATTTATTATTCGATACACTGCTCTATTACGATACACTAAGAAAAAATATTTGATATTTGTAACTATAACACAGTTCAACAAAAAATGACCTTCGAACGCTAGAATGAGGCTAGTCATTTTCTACAGTTTTTTTATACTGAATAAATAAATAAATAAATATATATATATATATATATATGCATATATAATTTAAATAACTTTCAATTTGACTTAAATAATTTATCCAAATTTAAATATTAAATTTGAATTAAGTAATATGTGAAAAATTCCTTTAGAAGATTATTAAAATTCAAACATAATTTAATTCTTTTATTCTCCATTTTGAATTTGTTAATTTTTACAACTGATTTGTATTAAATACCATAAAAGACATCTGTATATAAATCTTTATAACAACCGGCCATTTTTAAGTTCTGATATTCACTATATTGAATCCACCATTTTGATTTATCAATTTTGATTTGGATTAGTATTCACCGATGTAATAAACGCTTAAGTTTAAATAAACATAATTAAAAATATAATTATAAACATAATAAATAAACATAATTATAAATTAAATTATTTGGTAAATCGTCTATAACATAATTCACAACTTTTCCCTAATAAATATCATATTTAATTAGGAATATTGTTCCGTACGGACAAAGTACGGCGTGCGACTGTGCACCGGGCGCCACGATACTCGAGAGCGTCCACCTTTCGGCATTAGTTCGCGCCGTCATCGCGACGTGGCGACGGCTTCGTCGAGCCATCGCTCGCAGTCAATTTCTAACTCAACGGCTATATAAGCCAGCGCGAGTGACGGCTCGTGGCCCTTCTCAGAGTGTCTATTTCGCAGCACGTTTGGCCGCCCTCTATACGGACACGCTTGTCCGGCGAGGATACTTTTGGCAACTTCATAGTTCTCGACTTTTTGCTGGATGGCTGAGAAGAAAGTTCGCGAAGTCGTCTCGGATTAACAACTCTGTATTTCTTTCCACCACTGCGTGGACATTCTTTTTAGCGATATCTCAAGTACTACAGATATAGTTCACAGTTAGAACGGAACCTAGCCTTCCGCTGCGCTTACGACTACTAGTCGCGCGAGCCACACTCGCTCGTAAGTCCGTGAGCGACTTTTAGCCCCTCTGTTCGCGCTTGCATTTTATTAGCTTGTTTCTTCAACTATTTTTTTTATTCTCTTACGTTTCAATTGTTTTAAAGTTCTTTCGTTTTTATCCTTTTTCTTGTTTAAGTCTTTAATTTCGAACAATGAACAGCAACATATACAAACCTCCATTGGGGCCACTCGATGATCAATTTAAGCTGCCACAAATTCTCAATGATAGTTTTGCTCCATATGTCACTGTAGCAACTCCTGCAGAATATAAAGGCTTACCTATTGAGTACGAATATAAAGCTGTTATTCTCGGAAATCCCATCTATCTTAAGGGGAGAATTGTTAGCCCTTTTAGTGTTGATACGCTTGTAAACAAATTTCCTGAGCTTGGATTAAGATCAAAAATCAAGCGAATACAAATTCCTGAATTTCCCATTGCTCCAAAGGTTCAACTCCCCCATGATTCCAATCATCTTATAAAGTTATATTTAAGCATATGGATGAATAATCGCAATCTATCACTGAAACTTGATCCTTTTGATGCCACTGCTTGGCTAAGCCTATTCTGTTATTATGGTCCAGAGTTCTGTAATTATTATGATCATTACATGTTAAATCCTGACATCAAAGTGAAGATCCTGGATTATGACCATCAGGAAGAAATTTTGAATCACCTAATGAAGAACACAACACTTCGGGACAAAGAAACTGATCCTTATGACATTAGGGCAACATGTTATATGATCTTAATAACAATGAACAAGAATTTTACAGAAAATTTCGCTATACGTGATACTCAACTTGCTGGTTACTTTAAAAATAGAAAACAAGCAGTCTATGCCTCTATGGATGTACCAGTTGGAAAGCTTTGCTTCGATCCTCAGTTTTTCTTGAAGTTACAAGAAATTTTCAAACTGTTGCCAGAGCTAAAAAAACAACTCTTTTACTTCAGCTTCGTAAATAGAAGAAAATATCCTGAATTTATGGCTTCTTGTACCCTTTTATCATACTCCTCAATGACTGTTGTTCAAGCTATAAATGACTTCATACACTCTAAGAACAAGTCATTGGCTCATAGTGAAATTAAAATCCTGGAAGAGATAGACAAATTCACTAATACCATGAACAAGAAAAGAGAGCAATCAGGTAATATATGGCCTTTCTTCCGTATTCTAAAGCCTCATGATATGGACTTGGATGTGATCCAATTCCCGAATTTAGCTGTAGCAGCTATTGAATTTAAAAAGAAATTTGGAGAACCGTCCTATAAAAACGTGATCACACCTAAATTCCAAGTTGAACCAGACATAATTGAGAAAGCTCAAACTGAAGATACCAGGAAGATCTACACAGCCATAAAGATCAGCGAATCTGCCAGACGGGGAGCAGCAAAAATAGGCTTAGACCTAGTGAAAATGATGTCACTTGAGAAAGAGGCCCAGGGCATAGCAAATATTAGAGATGACCAAGTTGTGAACCC